TTTTTTTTTACTGAATTTTACCAATTCTTTGTTTTTTTTTTTTGTTTGCAGTTTTCTAGTGTTGCTGAAATCATTTTCTTTTTTTTTTTTTTTTTTTTTTTTTGGTTTTTCGAGACAGGGTTTCTCTGTGGCTTTGGAGCCTGTCCTGGAACTAGCTCTGTAGACCAGGCTGGTCTCGAACTCACAGAGATCCGCCTGCCTCTGAAATAACTTTCTCTTACCAGAACTCAGCTACTTTATAATTTATGGTATCCTGCAATATAAAAATCTCTATGCATTTAATCAGTTTATTTCTCTTAGTAAAATGCCCTTGCAACTTACTTAGCTATTAAACTTTGAATTATATGCCATTATATCTATGTTCTATTTGGATGTTCCATTATTGGTGTGGGACAATTCTGTATTCTGTCAATTATGTTTTAAATAAACAGTGATTGGCCGTAGCCAGGCAAGAAGTATAGATAGGACAACCAGACAGGAAGTAGAGGAGGGGCAATGAGAACAGGAGTATTACAGGGAAGGAGGAAGCCCATTCCTCCCCAGTCCTGCCCAGACACAGAAGAAGGAAGATGTGACCTCCCCTGCCAAAAAAGATACTGAGCCATGTGGCTAACATATACTAGAATAATGGGCTAATGTAAGTTAAAAGAGTTAATAAGAAGCCTGAGCTAGGGGGCTGGAGAGATGGCTCAGTGGTTAAGAGCATTACCTGCTCTTCCAAAGGTCCTGAGTTCAATCCCCAGCAACCACATGGTGGCTCACAACCATCTGTAAGGAGGTCTGGCGCCCTCTTCTGGCCTTCAGGCATACAGACAGAATATTGTATACGTAATAAATAAATATTAAAAAAAAAAAGAAGCCTGAGCTAATGGACCAATCAGTTTATCATTAATATAGATTCTTTGTGTGATTTTCTTTGGGGCCAAACGGCTGTGGTACCTGGTTCGAGGACATAAACCCCAACAAGCAGGCCCACATGTTACACATTATTCTACTTAATAAAAGTATAGATTATTTCTTTGTACAATATTTTATCATTTATATGTAGTGCCTCTAAGTTTGAAATGCCTCATTTTTCATTACTTCAATATGTATTAATAAATGTTTTCTTCTAAAAGATAAGCATTGTAAGTATGAAGAATATTTTCTAACCTTTATTAATATCTCAACTTTTGCTCTACAGGAAAAATACCTGAAGATTTTAGCATTTTCTCCAAGACCATTGATTATAACTCACTATACATTCAATGCCGGAGAATTCATACAAGGGAGAAACCTTACAAGTGTGAAGAATGTGGTAAGGGCCTTAGTTCTTCTAAAGCACTTTCCATACACCAGAGACTTCACACTGGAGAAAAACCCTACACGTGTAAAGAATGTCACAAGGCCTTCAATACTCGCTCATCACTTTTTATACACCAGAAAGATCATACTGATGAAAACACCTACAAGTGTGAAAAATGTGGCAGATCATTTTACTATCCTTCAATGCTAAAGCAACATCAAAGGATTCATTCTAGAGAGAAATCCTACAAATGCAAAGCTTGTGGCAGTTGTTTCTTCTCGTTTTCATGCCTTCGACAACATCAAAGGAAACATACTAGAAAGAAATCATACAAGTGTAAGAGGTGTGGCAAATGTTTTTGCTTCATTTCATCCCTTTGGCAACATCAAAAAATTTACTGTAAAGACAATCCCTACAAGTGTGTGGACTGTGGCAGAAGCTTTAAGTTTTCTTTATCCCTTAGACGACATCAAACAATTCATTCAGCACACAGTCCTTATACCTGTGTACACTGTGGCAAATGGTTTCCATGTTCTAGGGCTCTTCGGGATCATCAAACAGTTCATACTGGAGAAAAACCCTTCAAGTGTGACGAATGTCACAAAGCCTTTCATTATCACTCATCCCTTAAGACACACAAGAAAGTTCATATGGAAGAGAAACCCTACAAGTGTGAGGAGTGTGACAAAGCCTTTCATTATCACTCATCCCTTTGGAGACACAAGAAAGTTCATAATGGAAAGACATCCTATAAGTGTAAGAAGTGTGACAGATGTTTTAACTCATCTGTATCCCTTAGACAACATCAAAAAATCCATTCTGAAGACAATTGTCATACCTGTGTACACTGCAGCAAAAGGATTTCAAAGTCTAGGGATCTTCGGGTTCACCAAAGAATTCATACTGGAGAGAAACCATACAATTGTGAAGAATGTCACAAAGCCTTTCCTTATCTCAATTCTCTTAGGAGACACAGGAAACTTCATACTGGAGAGAAACCCTACACGTGTGAAGAATGTAACAAAACCTTTCATTGTAATTCATCCCTTAGAAATCATAAGAGAGTTCATACTGGAGAGAAACCCTACAAGTGTGAAGAATGTGACAAAACCTTTCATCTTAACTCATCTCTAAGTAGACACAAGAGACTTCATACTGGAGAGAAAACCTACAAGTGTGAAGAATGTCACAAAACCTTTCATCATAACTCATCTCTTAGTAGACACAAGAGACTTCATACTGGAGAGAAACCCTACAAAGGTGCAAACTGTGACAGATGGTTTTCCTCAACTTCATCCTTTTTATGACATAAAAGAAATACTCAGGGGCTGGAGAGATGGCTCAGAGGTTAAGAGCACTGACTGCTCTTCCGGAGGTCCTGAGTTCAATTCCCAGCAACTACATGTTGGCTCACAACCATCTGTAATGAGGTCTGGTGCCCTCTTCTGACCTGCAGGCATACATGGAGGCTGAACACTGTGTACATAATAAATAAATAAATAAATAAATAAATAAATAAATAAATAAATCTTTGAAAAAAAAAGAAATACTCATTATGTGGAGAATCCCTAAAATTTCGGGGAATGTAGCAAAGACTTTATTAATCTTAATATCCTTATTCAACACATGATATAGTTAATGCAGGAGAGAAATTCAACACATATCTTAAAAAGTTTACTTCTTAAAACACATCAAATGATTCATTCTGACTGCAAACTTCATGAGTGTGTCAAATGTGTTATAATCTTTGCTAACAAATCAGGAATTTTTCACCTGGAATAGTTAATCATTTTGGGATGTCAACACCAAGAGCACAAATACTAAGAATGTCATCAGAGAACAGCAGAGAGTTCTCTTTGCTGTAACTCCGAACGGTTTGTTCAATCAATGTGTTTAAAACTTGCCTTTATTAATAAGTCTCTATCTTCTGTAACTATAAATGCTCCATGACTCCTTTACCATGCCATAGCTTTGTCCATTGGTTGCCCAGAATCTGCGATCTGGGCTGTAGCATAGTTACTGTAGTTTTTCTCAATGAAGTCATCCAAACTGCTCTAATATATCCCCCTTGGTGTGTAAGAAGCTCTGCTTCTCTGAGCTAGCAGATTTTCACCCGGCATTTGAATCTATATTGATAATCCTTATTGGTAAAATAAAAGGACAGAGGCAGAGTTAAAACTGTATAAATACTCTTGCCGTCTAAGACACCCACAGCAAGGCAGCAGCTGTGGCGGCAGAGGTGTAGCAGAATTTGAACAGATACCCTGAAAACAGCCAGTGATGGAGCTAGGGAGCAGGGCCATTAAATTTAAGGAGGTCCAGATGTTCCTAGGAGGCATCCTGTCCCTAAAACCTTGTCAGTTATTAATGGCCCTTTGTTAGGGTTTTCACGCCCCAAAGCTGACCAATGGTTTCAAAAGCTACCTTACCCTAGCCCTCCTTACCCAATCCCAAGACAACAGGACATGAACTCCCCTGATTATGGCGTTTCCTCTTTACAAGTTCTCCCCTTCCCTGGGTTCCAGGCTGACCTTGGCTCACCCACTAATTAGCGTAGTCGAAACTCGATATTAAATATTAAAAACTCTCTTGTGCTTTCGGAATCCAGTGTTGTGGAGTTTCATTTTCAGGGATATCCAACTTGGATATAGCACTTATTTTCTTTAGGTTTAGTTTTATTTTTAATTGCGTCCCTCCTAAAAAGCCATTTATGTTTCGCGCAGATTTCTGGGAAATGTAGTGCTTGCTTCTGTGACGTCACAAGAAGCCGTCCAGGAAATCTCATTCCGTCTTAGGTCTCCACGTGTATCTCTTCCTGAAAGTTGGGTGAGAGTCCCGCCTGTTGTGCATTCCCGTTGAGTCTCTGACACGGAGGTTGGTCCAGGGTGGAGCGCAGCCTGAGGCACTGTGTGGGGTGCGGGTCCATCTTGGAGGGAGCGGACCTGGGCTGGGTGGGAGGACGGGAGATGCTGCCTTGAAGGTGCTGTGCTCAACTGGCTGGGACGCCTGAGGTTGCAGGTCAGGGCTGGGAAGAGGGCGACAGGGACTGTGTCTTGAGTGATGGTTTCCTTAGGACTTCTCGTGCAGCCCGAATGCTCCTTGGGCTTCTGGGACAGGAGAACTGCGTGGAGTAGATGACAGTGCTGGGTCCAGGGTTGCAAGCTAAGTATGGTCAGCTGACTGCCTGCTCCTGAGGGGGAGCTGGGAGCTCACTGAGCAGCTTTGGTGGGGAAACACACTTTTCTAGCTGACCCGTACGCGTATGAATGCTGTGAGGTATCTCAGTATCTTCAGAGCAAACATAGTTTCTGGCCCTTCCTTTGCTTTGTAGCCGTCCTAATGTATCGTACTTGACGTTCATGAAAAGTTCCTGTTCCCCGATAAGCCTCTCTGCTGATGAAATGATCCGAATAAGACCAAATCAAACCGAATTTGAAAAAGTCCAGGATTGATGGATATCAACGTTCCATAATGGCTTTCCAGCCCTCCAAGAGGAGATAGGAAAGGATGACCAGAAAACCATGTGTTTTCTGGGTGCTGTTTAAATATTTTGTAGGAGTGGTATTTAGCATCTCTGGGGAGGGTATCATCCATTGGTGGGCTTTCTCTGAGGTGGAGTCTGGACTGAGGCAACTCCCAGGGGAGTGGACTTGGGATGGATCTTTTGTCCAAACATTTCATACTCTGGTTATATGGATGCCAGGTGCTGGGGTGAAGCCTTTACCCAAACATTTCAGGTTCTTTGGATATATGGATACCAGGTGCTGATGTGAAGCTTCCACCCAAACATCCCAGACTCTTTGGGTTTAGGGGCGCCTACTGAAGTCTGTTTACTTCCTGTGGTCTTGGCACTACATAGGGGAAAGGGAGTCGGGAATTGGTGGGCTCACACTCAGCGGGAGGTGTGCCTGTAGGGGCGTCCAGTTAACTGCCATCCTGGAGACCTCAGGCATCTGTTCCTTAAGGGAGATGAGAAGGCAGATTGCTGGGAGAACAAATAGATTGTTATTATCGGCCCTATGGTTGGGGCAGCCCCAGCCACGGGAAACTGCCAGATCGAGTGGGATGGAGAAGCCCTGGGACAGGAGAGGCAGGGTGAGTGAGGGAGACAGTTTACATTGTTTTCGTTTTCTCTGTCAGTTAAAGAACACAGGAAGGGAAAAAATCCGAGGTACCACAGATCTCAGGTGGTAAGTCCTGAAAGGAAGCCGAAAGGTCTGCCAGGATGAGCTGCTATCGATAGCTTTGACTAGGGGTGAGAAAACAGCTCACACACAGAGGGACTCTCTGGAGAAGCTGACTTTTTACAGGCCTCAAATTGAGGTCTGGGTTTCCTTAAGGCCTTGAAAGGTCCCCCATCTGTAATGTAGGATGGATGGACCAATAAATTACAGTTTCTGCTTGGCCCACACTGGTTGTGTCAATGTCTTGATGTGGCCTTGAGCTTGTTGAGCTGGTCCAGAAGCAGGGTCCCTAGGAACAGGTGAAAAGCTCTCATGGCCTTGTGTTACAGTGCCAGGCTTTTGTGTCAGGTCAGCAGGTGAGGAGAATTCCCAGACCTGTGTGTATTCCTGGGATTTTAGTAACCAGACCAGTGATAGAAAAGAAATGTCAGTCTCCTCTGAGGCACATCCCTGTCATCTCTGCGTTTGTGAAGGTGTAATTCCAGGCCAGCATATGCTACCCATGGCTATGACAGGCAAGATTTCAACTTTAATGATGTGATAAATACTTTATGGTGCTTTTCCTGTTTGTTACAGTGAGCACCTTGACAAATGTACGCAGTCAACACCTTTTGATTTACAAACTATGTGTGCTTAATCTCTGCTGACTGAGCCAACATGTAACTTAAACAAAACCACTTCTCCTGTCTATCTGAAATAGATCTCTGCATATTTAGAAAACCCAACTAACATAACTATAAGCTTGACTATTATAGATAACTATTAATTTGTATATCTTAACGATACATTACATTTTTTAATTAACTGCATGAACATAACACTTTAAACAAGAGTAGAAATATATATGTAGTTTAACAAAATGGACCTTAAATTAGTATCAATATATAAAAATGCTTTAAACATAAAAACAGAAACATATATATAGTGTAATAACTTTAAGTGTATATCACTATACCCAAATTCATACCAATGCAAAATATAGTTGTCTTTTTATTCTATATTTCTCTATTTTTCTTAATATAACAAGCATTCATAACCTACCTAATAACCAAAGACCGTCCTTACCCGCCTGAACTCTTGGGAACGTGGATGTCATTTTCTCCAAGCTTTGCCTCCTATCTGTGGATGAAGTATCTTTTGGGTCCCTGATAAAATTTTGAGATAATGACCAATCTTAGGAGTACCAAGATTAAAAAAAAGGTAACCTTTTGTTTATTGGTAACACCTGCTAAGTTTTGGGAGGTCTCCCATGATCAACTTTGGGCCATCTTAACCTGGAATGAACTCATAGCTTCTTGCTTCCTGTGGAAACAAAAGCAACACTGCTTTTGTATCTTTTAAGTTTCATTTTTGAAATATATTATTTGACTTTTGTTTTAAAGCTAAGGGATTTTGAAAATATTTAGGTTGGTGTATCTTATCAGTCTCTCCCTTAATTCCATGCTTCCCAGGAGTTGCAGCTTGTTTGCCATCCATGAAAAAATACAAAATCAATACAATAATAGACAGGATCCAAATTCCCTCTGTATTTTCCGTAGCTTTTGTTTTTATATTATTTTTATTCTTTCTTTAAAGATGTTATTTTATATTTTAAAACTATTTCTTTCTTTATATAACTGTCCACACCCATTTTTTCCCTTTCTCAAGCCTACACACATTAAAAACACTCGAACCTGTTGAGAAGTTTTTCCATCTGGACCACTTTTTTACTCTGTATGTTTTAAGCTGTTTTGTTTGCATGAGCTTGATCTAAGTCTGCCATGCAGCATGTGGCTGATTAGGCCCTCTGTGTGGAGGCCTGTGTGAGACAACAGAAACCCCTTGTACTGTGTAGCTCAAAGTAGCTGGTAACCAGCTCCACCCTGCAGGCCACCAGTTTGGGACACACATCTCTGGACTGCTGTTTGCATGAGACTATGAGACGAGGAAGCTCACTCAGTGTAGTTTTGTTTCTGTATATCAGAAGCTTTCTTTGTAAGCTTTTTCAGACCCTATGAGAATTTGAAAGCCCACGTTGGGTGCTATTTGTAAGTGGATGTTTCTCTCTTGCCTGCCAGTTCCTGAAAAACCATTCAGAGGCTTAATATTTATTAGAAACTGTTTGTCCAATGGCATAGGCTTATTACTGGCTACCCTTTGCATTTAATTTAACCCATTAGTCCTTATTTTACCAGAGGCTTATGACTTTTTACCTCGCATCTTGCTTCCCTGGCAGCTACTGGTGTCTCCCTAACTCCAAGCTTCTGCTCCCTGTACCTTGGCTTGGATTTCCCACCTGGCTGTACTCTGCCTGGCTATTTGGCCAAATCTGCTTCTTTATTAACCAATGGAAATAAGACATAAACAACACATAGAAAGTTTAACTATGGACAAAGATTTTCCATTTATTTATGGAATATTTGTCTATCTATGGAAAGATGTTTTGCATTTGTTTACCTTGCCTGCCTAAGGGACCTTATTCTTCTAATATGAAGCTAAATAGCTGATAGCTAGACAGGAGGTATATGCAGGACTTCCAGGCAGAGAGAGTAAGTAAGATGAGGAATCATGGAGACAGAGACAGAGGGAATTGCCAGTGGACAGACAGACTGACAGAAGAAGCAAGAAAGTACGACATACAGAATGAAAGAAAAGCAAAAGCCCCAAGGCAGAACATAGATGAATAGAAACAGGTTCAATTAAGCTATAAGAATTAGTGGAAGCTAGGCAATGGTGGTGCATGACTTTAGTTCCAGCACTTGGGTGGCAGAGACAGGAGGATCTCAATGAGTTCGACAGGATTCAAAGCCACAGAGAAACCCTGTCTTAAAACCTAGATAAATAAGTAACTAAATAAATAAAGGGAGCCGGGCGGTGGTGGCGCACGCCTTTAAATCCAGCACTTGGGAGAAAGAGGCAGGAGGATCTCTGTGAGTTTGAGGCCACCCTGGTCTACAAGAACTAGTTCCAGGACAGGCACCCAAGATACACAGAGAAACCCTGTCTCAAAAAAAAAAAAAAAAAAAAAAAAAAAAATTGTGTGCCCAGTGCAAGCAGTACAAATAATAGGCTTCGATGTCTCATATCAATCACTAGTTAAAAAAATGTCACTGTAGACCTGGTCTCTTCTCAAAGTGGCTGCAGCTAGTTTCAAGTTGATAGGGTAAATATGAAACACAATGCATCTTGGTATTTATAAATTAATGTGCACAATGATTTAATTAAATTAATTTGCACCATCATTCACTGATCTTTATTTCAGAAAATGCTCTCCTTCTTGGATGTGGCCATCGAGTTCTCTCCAGAAGAAAGGGAATGTCTGGAGCCTGCTCAGTGGAATCTGTACAGGGATGTGATGCTGGAGAATTACAGCCACCTTGAATTCCTGGGTGAGCATCTCCTCTATAGTGACTTCTTACTTCACTTCAACATATAGTGAACATATAGTGAACAACAAATTCCTCACTTTGTATGGTTTCTCATGGTAGCATTTCAACAGTTTCATATCCATTGTTTTTAAAATAATTACTAAGATCGCTACATTAAAAATCATTTCTGGGCTGGAGAGATTGCTCAGTTGTTAAGAGCACTGACTGCTCTTCTAGAGGAGCGTTAAGTAGAAGGAAACTGCTCTTCCCTTTCCGGCCACTCAGACCTGAATAATCAGATAGAAACTATGTTAATTACAGCACTGTTTGGCCTGTTAGCACAGGCAGGAAATCCCACATCACCGGCACTCCTATGGCAGCTCACCATTGTTTGTAAACCCAAGGTCTGACAACCTCATGTTGTGTAATGTTTTAATTGAGTTGTGTCCTGACAAATACAGCTTGGTTTGAGTCAGGGGATAGAACTAGTCACCAGCCGACCATAGAGACATGGAAGACTGTAGAGAGGGGAACAGGATGTGGAAATGTGGGGCCGAGGTGGGATGGAAGAGGTAGGACGTCACTGGTGCTTCTCTGTTCATTCATTTCCTTAGCCGATATCTGACTCTGTATTTCTCATTGATAAAGATTACTAAGATAAACATATCACCCTCACATAGACATACATGAAGGCGAAACACCAGTGTATATGAAAAATTAAAATAAATTATGATTTAAAAAATAATAATCTTACGGTTTGCTTCAGTCTGTGTTTGATCTTTCTCTGTTAAATGTACGTTTTCTTCACTCTAGTGTGACTTTTAGAAATTCAGTGACATGAGGCATGGAGCACACTCTTTAACTGAAGTGTTTTACCATTCAGTTTTACTGTTTTCCCCCTTGAAGTAAAATTCATATTTTTTTTATCATTTTTCTTTTCTGTTCCCCCCCACTTTTGTTTATTTATTTATTTATTTTTTAAATATTTATTTATTTATTATGTATACAATATTCTGTCTGTATGTCTGAAGGCCAGAAGAGGGCACCAGACTTCTTTACAGATGGTTGTGAGCCACCATGTGGTTGCTGGGAATTGAACTCCGGACCTTTGGAAGAGCAGGCAATGCTCTTAACCACTGAGCCAACTCTCCAGCCCCCCCTTTGGTTTTTTGAGGCAGGGTTTCTCTCTGGTTTTAGAGCCTATCCTGGATCTAAATCTTATAGACCAGGCTGGTCTCAAACTCACAGAGATCCACCTGCCTCTGCCTCCCCACTGCTGGCACTAAAGTCGTGAGCCTCCACCATCCGGCTCCTTCATATGTTGTAGTGATCCTGTCTGAAAACACTTAAGAAACTGATTGTCTGCAATCATTTGTCACCTCATCTCTGTCCTTACAACTCATGTAAAGGGAGGGACATGTCAATTCTGTGTGTAAGAACACATAAATAAACTTCTTGTCTTATTCTATACACAGGTCTTGCTGTCCCTAAGCCACACTTGGTGACATTTCTGGAGCAAAGACCAGAGCCTTCAGATGGGGAGAGACATGCAGCAGTCACCGTGCACCCAGGTGTGTAGGAATGAGGGGTTCAGGGGCAGAGCTGAGATCCAAAGATCCAATAGAAAGTGAGGCTTTCCCATGTGCCTTGAAACATGATACCATGGGAATCATTCTTTAGGTCTCTCATTCAGGTCTTTGTTGTCAGAGTACATGTCTCAGAGGTTTATGAGGGTTTAAGTCTCCTTGGATTTCCCCAATAACAAGCTGTGCTTCTGTTTACAGTGATCTCCAAGGTTTTCCTTTTTGTTGAGTCTCCATTGTAATGTAAGACTCATGGAAATAGAACTCAGTCCTGCTACAATGGAGAGTCATTTATTTAGAGATGCTGAGAGCAGACTCATGACAGAAAGATCTCTACACAAAAGCAACCATAGTGGGTTATTAAAGGCAAACCCACAATTCCATCACAGAGAGGCAGGCAGAGAAAGAGGCTCAATGGTGATGGTGTCAGTTCTGTTGGTCAGAACAATTGGGAGTTGGAAGCATTGGATAAAACTCAGAGCAACCAAATGCAGTTTGGATAGTCTACTTCCAACCGGTCTTAGGGAAGAGTCAAAGTATTCACACATTGTGTAAAGGGGATTTATTTGGCCTTTAGGGACACTAATTTAACATTGCCTGTTTGCCTTATTTTTAAACAACTTTACCACCAGTTGATTCAGCAGGTCCTGACCATTAGATGTAGAAAGAGTAGGACAGGATGACCTGCAAGGCCTTGGACTGTTGATTCAGAGATGCCCATCAAATCGGTTTTGGGTACAGTATTTGTGTGTTTCTCGTTCATGACAGTTAGTAGATTTAGGCCTATTAGTAAGTTATAAGGTTTCATTTGTTTTTCTCTTTCAAGTTAATCTCTTTATCATGTACAAAGATGTTATTTGGATATATACCCAGTCACAACTTGTTAAAGAAATCATAAACTTTTACATGTGAATCTGGTTTTTCCAGATACATCAGTACTAGTAATATATTTTATTTCAGGTACATTCAGGGTATGCACTGTGGCTAGATCTAGAGGAAACATTATGGCTAATATTACCATGAGTCCAATTGAACAAAAAGATCTTGTAGTCACTTCTTCTTCATGTCTCCTGTTGATTCTCAAATGTCTGCAGTGTATATTTTCATTAGCTTCTGTGTTTTTAATGGGATCATGACTAATGAATTTAGGCAATGTTTTTCATCAGCAACTTGATGGATTAGGTCTTTGGGGCCAGCTGCTCCCCAATAACCACACAGAGTAAGTGCTCAACTGACAGCTCATGCTTATGAGAAATTAGGTCTTGCATTTATTTATTTATTTATTTATTTATTTATTTATTTATTTATTTATTTATTTTGGTTTTTCGAGACAGGGTTTCTCTGTGGCTTTGGAGCCTGTCCTGGAACTAGCTCTTGTAGACCAGGCTGGTCTCGAACTCACAGAGATCCGCCTGCCTCTGCCTCCCGAGTGCTGGGATTAAAGGCGTGCGCCACCATCCCCCGGCTAGGTCTTGCATTTTAAATTAACCCATATGTCTTATTTACACTCTGCCACGTGGCAGGACCTTTTCTTCATACAGCATGTTTATTGCTGGCTTCTCAGAATCCTGGCCCCTTCTCTGACTCTGGTTTTCTAATGCCAGGATTTGATCAGCCCCCAAAATCCTGCCTAGCTATAGACCAATCAGGTTTTTATTAACAATAAAACAACACATCTTCACAGTGTACCGAAAGATTATTCCATAGCATTTTCCACATGGAAAATATATAACAAATATTTAACAAAAGTATACATATAAAAATAGCCTCTCATGTTCTTGGAAATAAAAACATAACCTCTCTCCCAAAGTAACAAACTTCTGTTTTCCTTTTAAAGTCAAGACGTGAAAACTACATTGGTTGCTTTAATCCGGTTTTCTCAATCTAGGCAGTCTCAGCAGCTCTCATTCCTTCTTTAGCAGTCAGAAAATCTACAGACAACACAGTACCACGTGGATTCTAGACACTCTGTGTGTTTTACTTCTTTGTGTGTCTTTAACTTTCATATTACTTTATTCCCGTTTTAAGGACTTTTACTTTATTTTAAAAGTATGTATATATTTATTGTAACTGTCTACCATTTTTTTCTTTCATGAGACTTTGCACATTTTTATTTTTTTATTTTTTTATTTTTTTATTTTTTATTTTTTTCTAGACAGGGTTTCTCTGTGGCTTTGGAGCCTGTCCTGGAACTAGCTCTGTAGACCAGGCTGGTCTCGGACTCACAGAGATCCACCTGCCTCTGTCTCCCGAGTGCTGGGATTAAAGGCGTGCGCCACCATCGCCTGGTGACTTTGCACATTTGTAAACACACTGTACCCATTTACAGATTTTTTTTTCTATCTAAATCTATTTTCCTGAGCATCTGTAACATTTTCTGTCCACATGAGCAAAACCCTAAACCTGCCACCCACTGAAGTGGTGGAGCTCGAGTCGGTGGCTCAAATCTTTAGGCAGCCACCAGGGGGAGCATCTCTGTACTGCAGGCCGCATGAGAGACACAATACCAGGAAGGTGCCTTGGTAGGGTTTTTCTGGGGTTCCTTTTTGGAGTTCTGGCCAGAACATTTTTTAAAAAAGTACACCATTTCACTAACCAAGTTGGAACCATCTTGAGCAGCCGGTACCTAAAACAAATCTTATAGCAGCATCATGGTGTCATATCAACCAGGTGGAGGTATTGTTGTGGGGCCCCATGTTCTTCTTGAAAACCTCAAAGATTACTGCAGGTAAATTCATTGTTCATTGTGGAAAACTTAAATATTATTTATATAGACATATGCAGACATATATATTCAGTGAAAAGTACGATAGAGACAAAAATAGGTATGAAGAAAACTAAAATTTTTTATAATTTTTTTCTTTCTGTCCCATATCATGGTTCCTGTCATAAGACAGAAACTCTGAATTTTTATTTTAACAACATGCTAAAATTTAGAGAAAGACAGAGCCAGTATCCAACTCCAAAGCCAGCTTTGAATTTTTAAGTGAATCATGATTATTATCTCAGTTTATGTTTTGAGATTCTTACCCTCAGATGACATGTCCTCATAAGTCATAATTCTCTCTGCTTGATGAGCCTATCTGGAGAATTATTTTTTCCTCTTTAGGCATCTAGATGTCCAGGGTCTCTTTACCTTTTAAAGATGAGTATTTTCCTGCAAAGACAAGAACAGAACCCTGCCCCAACCCTCATGAGGTTTCCTTACACCTGTATGGCTGTCCCCATTGTGGATGAGCTGTCATTTCTCTTTTTTAAGAGGTTGCTCCTTTTCAAAGTGAATCTTTATTTTTTTATGGATATTTATTTATTTATGGATATCGATGGTATCCATAGTTTTTCTTCTCCTGTGGAAACAAGAGCGAAACCCCTTCCCCAACATAGCACATCCCCTGGTTTCCATTGTGAAGTCAACACATCCTTAATATACGCCAGCTGATTTAATTCAGAAGACTTTTCTATTATCCAATATCTCTGCTACTGTTGTCCCTTTCTCATTAGCGTTAAGAACATTTAATCTTAGTAAAGCATTATGCAATCTATTTCTGGGGCTATTTTCCATCCCTTTCTGTTGGTTTAACATATCCTTCATATTTCGATTTGGTCTTTCTATAACTGCCTGACCTGTAGGATTGTGTGATATACCTATAATATGCTTAATATGATGAGCAAAATAAACTGTTTTGTTTTCTTAGAGACATATGCTGGACCATCATCTGTCTTTATTTGTGTAGGTATACCCATGATGGCCATAACTTCTAATAAATGTGTGATTACTGAATCAGCCTTTTCTGAGCTTAAAGCAGTTGCCCATTGAAAGCCTGAATAAGTCACGCCCAAGAGGGTGGGTAACTTGAAGGCTACTGCTGGTGGGGACACAGCAGGGTGGGCCAAGTCTGATTGCCATTTGTAGGCGGAGTTTTCTGTTCCAAGAGATGCTCCAGAATAACCAAACCAGGGGCTTTTTATTGGTTGTGAATAGTCAGTAGCTTGGGTTCATTTTTAAGTAGCTCTTACTCTTTAAATAAAACCATTGTTCTTATCTACCCTCTGTCGCCTGGCGGTTCCTTCTTTTAACACAGTATGTTCATCTTTTTTCTGTCTGTGTCTGCTGACACAGACAGAAAAAAGTGCCCATAGACGTGCACTTTTATCCACCTTGCCTGAAGGTCAGAGAGTTTTAACTTGGCTACACATCCTGGCCTAGGGTGTGGTCACTTGGTGTTTTTGATATTAAGGTGGTCCATACAGGTAGACATACTCCAACCTAACCAATGTTCAGGATATTGAAGCATTCCTTTTCTGAAATAAGAGGTTTGTCCTTGTGAGTAACTGTCTTCTGGATACTTGGTCTTGGGTGGGTTTACTGCCTAAAGAACAGAATGCTTAAGTCTTGATGCCTCAAAGTAATGAAATAAAAACTATTCTATTTGCCCTGTGTATCTGTTTTCCTCTTTCCCTGTGGTATTGGGGAATAAACGTGTACGGAAAATTAAACACAGGCTGATTTCAGTATTTACTGGAACTCTCCCCTGGGTACTAGCCTATGTTTTCTGTTTTATTATTTTCATTCATGTCTTCATTCCCTTCACTTATTTTCCAGTTCCTGTGCCCAGACCCTGGTAGGTGGTATACTACTTGAAGCTGGTTTCTGACAGCTGGCCACTCCTCTCACTATTCCCTTCTTCCCAGTATTTTCTCTGCCCAGAAAATCTTGCTTAACCATCAGTCAATCTGCTTTTATTAACAATGGGAGTACTACATATTCATATTGTACAAAACAGTGTTTCACAGCTGAGGAGCTGGTCCAGATGTCTCTGGCGGGTAACTCGATGGCTGCTCAGGTGAGCTTTCACAGTCCACCTCGCCTCCTCCTCAGGCTGTGTTGCTTTCATTGCCTGATGTGGTGGGTCCTCACTTGGTACATGAAACTTAGTTAAACTTAGCTTAACTTTGAAGACATGGACAGAGGACTGGATAATGGAATTTAGAAATTTTTCTCTCCCTCCATGATAGTGTTTGAGGCCAGCCTGGTCTCGATAATTCATTCAAGTTCAGCAAGGTCACCACCGAAAAAACCTTGGCTTCAGGGAAAAAACAAAACAAAAAAAACAAAGAAGTAATTTTGCCATCTCTTTGATAAATATATTGTCTATGCAAAATTTGTATGATATGCAGAAGAACCTAAAATATTTTTTGTTTTTGTTTTTTTCATGATTCGACATGTTTCAAGCATGTATTTTCTGTCATTCAAATAAAATGTAAAATAATGTCCTGAATTTGAACTATAAATTTCATCTTTATGTAGACTGTCTACTTGTGCAGCATATCTTTGGTACTCCCAAAATAAAGCTATATGTGCAGGATAAAACATTTGTATTAGACGATGTCTCAAATTCACAAAGTGAAAATTACCTTTGTTTTTCACAGACTCAGCTGCTTTCTAATGTCCTGTGATATAAAATATCTATTCATTTAATGGGTTTATTTCTCTTAGTAAAATGCCCTTGCAACTTACTTAGCTACTTAACTTTGAATTATATGTCATCATGTCTGTGTTCTATTTGGATGTTCTCTTATTCTACTAGTAGTATAGGTCATTTCTACCTACAATATTTTATCATTTATTCTTATTTATATTGTATATGTTTTGAAATGACTGTAGTTTTTCACTGATGCTTCAATATGTACAAAAAAGGTTTTTTTTAAGAAAAGATAAGCATTGTAAGTATGAAGAATATTTCCTAATCTTTGTTCATATCTCAACTTTTGATGAACAGGAACAAAACCCAATGATCACAGCAGTTACAACAAGGCCATTGATTGTAACTCACTACAGATTCAATGTCAGAGAATTCATACAAAGGAAAAACCCTACAAGTGTGAAAAATGTGGTAAGGCCCTTAGTTCTTATAAAGCACTTTCTATACACCAGAGACTTCACACTGGAGAAAAACCCTACTCGTGTAAAGAATGTCACAAGTTCTTCAATACTTGCTCATCCCTTTTTATACACCAGAAAAGTCATACTAATGAGAAATCCTACAAGTGTGAAGACTGTGGCAGATCATTTTATTATTCTTCAATGCTTAAGCAACATCAAAGGATTCATTTGAGAGATAGCCAACACAAGTGCAAAGAATGTGGCGGGTGTTTTTTCTCATTGTCATGCCTTAGACAACATCAAGCAAGATATACTAGAAAGAAGTCATACAAGTGTGAAGAGTGTGGCAAATGTTTTTACTCCCTTTCATCCCTTCGGCAACATCAAGCAATTCATTCTGAAGACTATCCCTACAAGTGTGCAGAGTGTGGCAAAACAGTCTCCAGTTTTACATACTTTCAAGATCATCAGACAATTCATACTGGAAAGAAATCATACAAGTGTGAAGAGTGTGGCAAATGTTTTTATTTATCCTCATCCCTTCGGCGACATAAAGCAATTCATTCTGAAGACAGTTCCTATAAATGTGCAGAGTGTGGCAAAACGTTCTCCAGTTTTACATACTTTCAAGATCATCAGACAATTCATACTGGAAAGAAATCATACAAGTGTGAAGAGTGTGGCAGATGTTTCCACTTATCTTCATCCCTTCGGCGACATCAAACAGTTCACTGTGAAGACAATCCTTACAAGTGTGAGGACTGTGGAAGAAGGTTTAAGTCTTCTTTATCCCTTAAACAACATCAAACCATCTATTCAGCAGACAGTCCTTCTGCCCCTGTACATTGTAGCAAATGGTTTTCCTATTCTGGGGATCTTCAGGATCACCAAACAGTTCATACTGGAGAGAAACCCTTCAAGTGTGAAGAATGTCACAAGGCCTTTCAATGTCCCTCATCCCTTAGTAGACACAAGAGAGTTCATACTGGAGAGAAACCCTACAAGTGTGAAGAATGTCACAAAGCCTTTCGTTATCACTCATCTCTTAAGACACACAGGAGAGTTCACACTGGAGAGAAACCCTTCAAGTGTGAAGAGTGTCATAAAGCCTTTAATTGTCCCTCAGCTTTTAGGGCACACAAGAGAGTTCACACTGGAGAGAAACCCTATAAGTGTGAAGAATGTGGCAGGTGCTTTTTCTCATCTTCAAACCTTAGACGACATAAAAAAAGAAAAATTCATTCTGAAGAGACCCCATAAAATTGTGGGGAATGTTGTAATTCTTAATATCCTTATTCAACATGATATATTTAACACCAGAGAGAAATCCAACAAATGTCTTTAAAAGTTTTCTTCCTCAAACTTTAACACATCATATGATTCATTCTGACTGCAAATGTCATGTGTGATGTAGGATTCCCTTCTGTAAGCTGTGAATATGTTTTATTACCATTGGTTAATAAAGAAGCTTCATCAGCCAATAGCTTTGCAGAGTAAAGTCAGGCAGGAAATACAAACAGAGATATAGAGAGAGTAGGAAGAGTCAGAGAGATGTCATGTAGCTGTCAAAGGAGACAGATGCCAGAACCTACTGCTAAGCCACAGTCTCAGGGAGATACTCAGATTAATAGAAATGGGTTAATTTAAGATGTAAGAGTTACTTAATAAGGATCTTGAGCTAATTGGTAATGGAGTGTTTTAATTAATATGGTTTCTGTGTGATTATATGGGTTTGGGTAGCCAGGAATCATAAGAACAGTCTCCAGTTACACATGAGCGTGGGAGTATTGTAAAATCGTTCCCAAGAAGTCAGCTAACCCAACCTAGGAACTTCTACTTCTATCTACCTCACTGTCATGGGCTTCCGAGCTAGCTTGCAATAAAACCTTGCTTTTTGCAGTCTGTATTTCTCTGATTTCTGGTGGTTTCTCTGGGGGTCCTGATCTCTGGGGGGCACAACAGTATGCACACCATTTGCTGAGGAAAATGTTTTTCCAGATGCCTTGGTGATCCTTCCCCACATGTGTGGAGACCGGAAGAAGCCAAAGGTCAGAGAGTTTGGGTCTTGTTTCTAGGTCATTCTACTTATTGTGTTGCTACCTCAAACAAAGGTCCCACCTAGTTGTAAATCAGAGAGTTCTGCTCTCTCAACAGGTCTGGCTAAGGGCCAGACCTTGTGCTCCTGGAACAGTGAAGTAGTTTGTTCCGAAGGTCCCACCAAGTTCCATTCTCTTTACGGAAATAACTTGCGATTCTACCCAGGTAGTGGTTTGGTCTTGTGTGTGAGCCTGATGAATGTAGCCCCTGACTTTCAACCACTATGTTCATTTCCTTATATCATGTTAATGCAGACTTTTGCCTTACTCCTGCCTTGGGGGGCCAGGGGTATATCAAGCAGTTGTAAGTTAAACACAGGCAAATTTTCAGTACGCACTGAAAAATACCCTCCCGATACTATACTACATGTTTCTGCGTTTTATTATTTTCATTCACATCTTCATATTCTTTACTGTATTTCTGAATTCCCATGCCTCCTACCCTGGAGAAAGGTATTTTTCTCAAGGCTGGCCCCCGACACAGATAATATCTTATTGAATTTTTTGCTTCTGTGAGGACCTGACTTTGCAAACTCAGTTTTAAAGGAACTTCATCTTAAACCGTATAACGAACGGCCCCAGAAATGTGCTGCGAGAGCAGAATTTGAACAGATACCCGGGAAATAGCTAACTACGGAGCAGGGAGCAGGGCTACTAAATTTAGAGGTCCGGATGTTCCTAGGAGGCATCCTGTCCCTGAAACCTTGTCAGTTATTACTGGTCCTTGGTTAGGGTTTTCACGCCCCAAAACTGACCAATGGTTTCAGAAGCTACCTTACCCTATGCCCTCCTTGGCCAATCCCTAGACGACAGGATATGAGCTCCTCTGATTTTGTCATTTCCTCTTTAAACATTTTTTTTTTTTCTTCCCTGGGCTCCAAGCTGCACTTAGCCTCACCCACTCCTTTGATGTGGTGGAAATGAAGTCCAAGCTCGACATTGAATATTAAAAATCTCTTGTTTTTTGCATCGGAATCCGGTACCGTGCCGTTAATGTTGGGAAATGATTAATGTGGGGCTAGCACTTCTTTTTGTATTATTTAGTTTCGTGTATAATTTCATACCTCCTAGGGGCCATTTGTACTTCGCGCAGATTTCTGGGAAATGTAGTCGCCGCGACTGTGACGTCACAAAAAGCCAGGAAATCCCATTCCTGCTTCGGTCTTCACGCGTGCGTCTTCCCAAGATTCCCGTCTGTTGCTCTTTCCGGTTGCATCTCTGACATGGAGGTTGGTCCAGGGTGCAGCTCAGCCTGAAGCACTGTGCGTGGTGCCGGGCCGTCTCGGAGGGAGCGGTCCTGGGCTGGGTGGGAGGGCGGGAGAAGCTGCCTTGGAGGTGCTATGCTCAGGTGCAACCTGAGGTTGCAGGTCAGAGCTGGGGAGAGGAAATAGGGACCGTGCTTTGAGTGAAGGTTTTCTTAGGACGTCCGTGCAGCGCGAGACCGCCTTGGGCTTCTGCTTGGCAGCGCGGAGTAGTGCGAAGTCCAGGAGGTCCAGGATTGCAAGCTAAGGATGATCAGCTGACTGCTTGCTCCTGAGGGGGAGCTGGGAGTTCACTGAGCCGCTATGGTGGGGAGGCATGCATCACTAGCTGACCCATTTCTCCTATGAATGCTATGAGATTTCTCAGTATCTTTTATATATGGTTTTTCGAGACAGGGTTTCTCTGTAGCTTCGGAGCCTATCCTGGAACTATCTCTTGTAGACCAGGCTGGCTTCGAACTCACCAAGATCCACCTGCTTCTGCCTTCTGAGTGCTGGGATTAAAGAAGTGTGCCACCACCGACCATCTGAGATTTCTCAGTATCTTTCGAACAGTCGTGGTTTCTGATCTTTACTTTGTAACTGGCCTAAATGTATGGTCTTGAGTTTATGAAAAGTTTTTATTCTCCAATAAGCCTCTCTGCCTATGCAATAATCTGAATCAGACCAAATCAAACCGAATTAGACAAAGCCCAGGTTTAATGTATACCAGTGCTCACTGATGGATTTCCAGCCCCCCAAAGAGAGGAGATAGGGAAGAACTACTGGAAAACCGTGTGTTTGTCCTCTTGGGTGCTGTTTAAATACCATGTGGATGTGGTATTGAGCATCTGGGGGGGGGGGTGTCAGCGTTTTCTGTGCTGTGGTGTCTGAACTGAGGCAACTCCCACAGGAGGGGGCTTGGGATGGAACTTCCACCCAAACATTCCAGACTCTGACTATTTGAATGCTAGGGGCTGAGGTGGAGCCTTAACTGAAACATTCCAGATATATGGATGCCAGCAGGGGCTGAGATGGAAGTTCCACCCAAACATCCCAGACTCTTTGGTATAGGGATGCTGACTAAAGTCTATCTTCTTCCTTTGGGCATTGGTTGATGTAGGGGAGAGGAGAGTCAGCAGTTGGTGGGCTCACACTCAGCGGGAGGTGTGGCTGGAGAGGCAGCCGGTTCACTGCCATCCTGGAGACCTTAGACATCTGTCTGTTAAAGGAGATGGGAAAGCAGGTTGCTAGGAGAAAAAAATAGATTGTTATTATCGACCCTACGGTTGGGGCCTGCCATGGGAAACTGCCAGGAGAGGGATGGAGAAGCACCCTGGCACAGGAGAGGCAGGGTGAGGGAGGGAGACAGTTTACCTTGTGTACATTTGCTCTGACGGCTAAAGAACTAAGAAAGGAAAAATATCTGAGGGGCCTCAGGTCTCTGGCAGTAAATTCTGGAATGAAGCAGCAAGGTCTGCCAGAATCAGCTGCTATAGAAAGCTGTGGAGAGAACACACATACAGCCCACACACAGAGTGCCCTGTGCAGGAAGAAGGAACTGGAGAAGCTGACTCCAGGCTACACATTGAGGTCTGGGTTCCCTTAAAGCTTTGAAAGCTCCCCCATCCCTAATGTAGGGCGGACTAACTGTGAAAACGACAGGATGTCTGCTTGGCCCACAATGGTTGTGTCAATGTCTTGATGTGGCCTTGAGCTTGTTGAGCTGGTCCAGAAGCAGGAGCCCTAGGAACAGGTGAAAAGCTCTCATGGCCTTGTGTTACAGTGCCAGGCTTTTGTGTCAGGTCAGCAGGTGAGGAGAACTCCCAGACCTGTGTGTATTCCTGGGATTTTAGTAACCAGACCAGTGATAGAAAAGAAACGTCAGTCTCCTCTGAGGCACACCCCTGTCATCCCTGCGTTTGTGAGGGGGAGTCAGGGCCCTCTGGTCCTCCCCTGCTTCATAGCAAATTCCAGGCCAGTCTATTCTACCTGAGTCTGACAGCATTTCAACTTTAATGATGTGATAAATACTTTCTATGGTGCTTTTCATGTTTCTTACAGTGAGCACTTTAACAAATCCATGCAGTCAATATTTTGTTGATTTGCAAACTATGTGCTGCAGCTGGGATGCCTTCCCCTGCCCTTACAGCAGAGGTTCCTCTGTGAGCAGATGCTTCTTACAGTGAGCCAGAACAAAACCACTTCCTGCACTGTCCTTCACATGGGACACTGCATATCCAACCAGTAAAGCAAACTGCTAATGGTGGGTCCTGCTCTTCCACAGGTCCAGTTCAGTTCCCCTTGTTGACAGTCCTGTGTCTTTCCTCCCAGGCTTCTTTCACCTTATTCTAATGTCAGTGTGTTGCTTTAAGAAGACTCAGAAACAATGTATGGACTATTAATATCCTCAAATACATCTAGACATCTAACGTACACAGCAAAACATGTGATAGTTATCTTGAAACAAAGTTTCAGTATATAATTCATGTATCCAAAGCAGGTACTATATTTCTTCCATATTTTTCATGGTTTAATTCACTTTCTGAGTCATAAAATTGCAAACTTGGTGCCTTGAAGCAAAAGCTAATGATTTTTTTCTTGCCACAGTTATGGAACAAAGCCCTGGAACAAAGACCTAGGAGTTACTATTTCATGATGTCTGTGGTACATGTTTTAAGCACTATGTCTTGTTATCCGTAGGTTGCTTACTTTGAAAGGAGGGTCTCTAATTTTTAGATCCTGACCTTCAATCTCGTCGTTTCTTTGAACCTCATTTTGAGTTCCCACCAATCCCACCTAGTCTTCAGTTTTGTCTGTCTCTCTGAAAGCTGTTTCTGAGGGGCACCAAGAGGAAATGCAAGAATTCTTATTGTACATACTCTGTCCATTTTGTTGCTCTAGGCTTGCTTCTAGGACCAGCCTCCACTACTCCTGAACTGTGAATCAGGTCTCCTTTGTTTAGCTTTCTTCCTGACCATTATTCATAACAACTTGTAATCAACACTCTAAACAAAGGCAAGCATCCATAATCCATTTTTTGGGGAATGTGGGCATAGTTTTCTAGGCTACTCCCTGCTGCTTCAGGGTGCTGGTAATCTTATGGGGACCTAAAGAAAATTTAGATTTATGGTCATTTCGTGACTGGAATATTCTGTGAAGCTTGATCTTATCAGCCAGCAGTCTTGAGGTTATTCAGGATGTAGAACTCAGATTTCTAGGGCTCTTGCTCCTATCGGACATTTCTCAGGGGGTCTTCCTTGATCACACCTGATTTTTCTTAACCTGGAATGAATCCACAGCCTCTCATTTCCTGTGGAAACAAAAACAAAACCTCTTCTCCAAAGTTACATATCTTTTGACTTAAAATTTTGAAGTCAAAGCATTTTCAAAATATATATTGTATTAATCCATCAGCATTTGTAAACAAATGTCTTTTAGCAGCTGTAGCTCCTTTCTTAGCCATCAAACAATTCAAAGACAACAAATAACATACAGTATCCAGACTCTCTGTGTGTTTTCCATCTTTACGTGACTGTATTTTAAATTCCATTTCTTTTATATTTTTAATTTTTTTTTTTTTTGAGACTAGATTTCTCTGTGTATCTTTGGCTGTCCTGGCTCTCACTCTATAGACTAGGCTATCCTTGACCTCACAGAGATCTGCCTGCCTCTGTTTCCCCAATTTTGTGATTAAAGCTGTGTGTCACCACGCCTTGAACTTGCAGAGATTTGCCTGCCTCTGCCTCCCAGGTATTGGGATTAAAGGTGTGTGCCACCACACCCAACTACTCTCTTTTTTTTTTTCTTGATTTTCTCCTTTTTCTTTTCAATCCCAAGCCCTCTTATATATTTAAACAGACTCTAAACCATTTAGAGGTTTTTTTTTTTTTTTTTTTTTAAATCTGAATCTATCTTTTATAATATCTCTCTCTTTTTCTGACCACATGAGTCTTTAATTCGCTAAGTGATATGACTTGGATTAAAGCCATGCTTTTGATGGCTGAATCCAGCCCATTCCTTAGCTTTTCTTAGAGTGTCCATCCTCATGGCGAAGGTAATAGCTAGAGCCATGTTTATTGCCACAACTCTATGGAGTTTCAAGGGCCATGCCACCACCAAGAAGCATGCTACTCACAAACACCATTTAAGAGTTTGGTGGTGGGTCCTCTTAAAACAGCTGCAAGCTTTTTGCAGCTAAAGCTGAGTCAGGCATCCTCTCTTAATGAGTTGTGTTTACCTCTAGCTAACAGCCCACCCGAGAAAATGCTGCTACCATGAAGCCAGGCTTAACTCTGTCCTTTTGTTTCTGGAATTACTTCCCAAACTCTCAGATTTTAAGTGGATATAGCTGTCCACGTTGGTGGCGAAAAATACAGGCAGAATATGCTAGTCATTGAGATTGGGAAGAAATAATGAAGCAGTACCAGGAGAAAACTATCTTGATCTGGTTAATAAAGTAAGAACTTTAAGAAGGTTTATTAAATTACTAGAAGAAATAATGACGTATAATTACAAGTTATACCAATAGTTTAGGAGGTGTTTGACATTGCAATGCAAATTATACTTTGACAACTTATTATCTCAACAGGCTTATTGTGGAAAAATGAATCTCGACCACACGAATGAACTCTTAGTAATGCCAGTTCAGCCTGGAGAAGGAAATAAAGCTTCCTTCAGTGACATGCATGCTTTGTCCAGCAGTGAGCACTCTTTCCCATAGCACTTCCCCAGGTTTTGTTTTTGTTTGCCAGTCTTAAATTGCCTGAAATGTTTGCTGTTAATCTTATTGGCTAAAACCCCTCCTCGTGATGCCCTGTTACAGGCACACTGCCCTCCACTCACAGCGTCTCACAGGATTGTCTGCAAGACAGCAGACGCTTGCCCATGCAGAATGATGGTAGCTGGGCTGGCCAATATGGGCAGTGATCCTCACAGTTTCGGAGGTGAATGTCTCCATCTTCATCTTCTCTGGGCTCTTGCCTTTTTCCATGCTGGTAATTTGCCTCTTCTTGGTGACCCCCTAGTCCACTTGCCTCACCTTTCCTAATGCTGTGACCCTTCAATACAGTTCCTCATATTGTGATGACCCCTAACCATAAAATTATTTTCTTTGCTACATCATACCTGTGATTTTACCAAAGTTATTTGTTGTAAATACTTTTGTAGTTGAAGGTTTCTCCAAGGGGTCATGACCCTCATGTGAGGAACTAGTGACCTAGTGACCTGATTAATAAAGGCATAGGATCTATTTATTTTCACTTCTAAAGGTGGTAACATTCTATACAAGCTACAAAGAAGCTTTCAAAACAGTTCTGTTTGTTTTTTCATGAGAAATTACTGGGTGTTCTGTTCACCAAATTGCTTCATTTTGCCTGTTTCTTCAAGATTTGGTGACTCCTTCATTGATGCTCAACTCTGCACTTTATTTAAAGACATTTTTCTATGTAGTCATTCTGAGACTTTGTAAAGATTTATTATTTATTTATTTATTATGTATACAGTGTTCTGCCTGCACGTATGCCTGCAGGCCAGAGAGGGCACTGAAATGCATGACCAATGGTTGTGAGCCACCACATGGTTAGAGGGAATTGAACTCAGTTCTCTGGAAAAGCAGCCAGCACTCTTAATGTCTAAGCCATCTCCCCAGCCCCCATGTAGTCATTCTTTACTGCAGATATATTTCAGTTGTCCTGAAAGTCTTGTGATGATAAAGCTACTGCCCCCTCCCAATGCTGAAAACGTCATGCCTTTCAGACACAAGACTCAGGAAATTGGAGCTGGGCCTGGCCTGAAGGTCTTCTGCCTTAGGGTGACTTTTCTTACTGCCGGAAGAGGCTTTGTGAGCTCCAAGGCAGAGAAGCAATAAATAGCCCTGCTTAGCTGTTATTCCTGTGAACCACCCCCATGAGCAGTATGACATTAAATCCCTAAAGGTGCCCAGTGTCTCCCACATCTCAGCATTAGCAGCAGTTGTCTCTGATGACTTCTTAGTTCTTAGTTACAGAGGAGAGCATACTGGAGCCACTAAAGCATCACAGTTGCTAACTGCATTCCAGATGCCTTTCCCTAGACCTACACCGAAGTGTAGCTGTCACTGCCTGTTAAAGACACTGCTCAGTGCAGCACAGAGAGCATTATGGAAAACTAAAACATTCAAATCCAGAGAACTATTGTCTTGTGATGCCCTGACCCAGTAGATACACCACACCACAGTTCCTGTGCAGAAGGCTCAGGGAATATATCTGGAGAGGGTCCATATTGATCATGAGAGCCAGGGGCTCAGGAAGTTTGCTGTGAGATTGTGCCTTCTAGAAAAGGAAGGGAAGCTTCACCAAAGATAACCAAAAAAAAAAAAAAAAAAATGACTGCTTGAACAAGCCCTGAACAGTGGCAGTGGCACAAGACCCCCTGCAGGGGGCAGTCTGCTGGCCAACAGAAGTATAGGCACATAAGGACTGCTAAGAGAGGAGAATTGGTCTTCCACGGGGATGAGCCCACTCAACATTCATCCAGTAACAAGTGGTCAGTCCCCCAAATATACACAAAGGCAACACTGAGCATTCATATTTATATAGTAGGTACGTACAGTGTAGATATCTACAGTTATGGCTGTGTGTGTAACAATAATAATAGAGAAAAATGAACCAAGTATCTGAGACAGATTATTGGGGTACATGGGAGAAGTTGCAATGAGATGATACATGGTTAAATGATATATTTCATTTCAGGAATGCATATATGTGTAGTATGTAGTAGCACATGACATTAAATGCATGTTCTGTGGCTGCATTCCTTTTACATATCTTTCTCAAATGGATCATGTCCAACTGGGTTTACGGGCTCCTTTACCTTGTCTTTACTATCGATGGTCAGTGTGAGCTCATGTGACCACTTCAGGCATGTCTGAGGATATTACTACCTGTGTAAGAACATTTCTAGCTCTCTTTCATCCTGGACAAATCCGTGCTGCCTGTCTGAGGGTTCCTATTGTGCTAAAGCCCGTGATGAGAGACAGCTTGGAGAAGAAAGGGTTATTTAGACTCCAATTCCAGGTGACAGTCCATCACTGGGAGAATTCAAGGCAGGAACCTGAGGCGTGAAGTGAGAACAGGCCACAGAAGAACACCGCTGACTGACTCCCCGAGACGGCTTTCCTGTACCGTGTAGAACTGCATGCCCAGTGCAGGCACCACCACAGTCGGCAGGGCTGTCTCAGGAATCCCTAGTTCAGAAAATGCCCCTAGACTTGGCTACAGGGCAGTCTTGGTAGGAATTTTTTCAATTATTTCTCTCTTTGCAAATTGGCCCTAGCTAGTTTCAGTTTTATCCAGCCCAGAGCATCTTGTCATTTAAATTATTTATGGTTTTAATTAAATTAATGTGTGGTATCATTTGCTGATCTTTATTTCAGGAAATGCTGTCCTTCTCGGATGTGGCCATCGAGTTCTCTCCAGAAGAGAGGGAATGTCTGGAGCCTGCTCAGTGGAATCTGTACAGGGATGTGATGCTGGAGAATTACAGCCACCTTGAATTCCTGGGTGAGCATCTCCTCTATAGTGACTTCTTATTTCACCATCAACTTGTAGCTTCCTCACTTTGTGTGGTTTCTCATGGGAACATTTCAACAGTTTCATATCTTTTGATTTTAAAAAAATAAGAACACTATATTAAAAATCATTTCTGGGCTGGAGTGATGGCTCAGTTGTTCAGAGCACTGACTGTTCTTCTAGAGGATCGTTAAGTCATAGGAGACTGCTCTTTTGTTCCTGGCCGCCCAGACACAAATTATCACACAGACACTATATTAATTACAACTTTGTTTGGCCTGTTAGCCCAGGCAGGAAATCCCACATCACCGGCACTCCTATGACAGTTCACGATTGTTTGTAAACCCAAGGTCTGACAACCTCATGTTGTATAATGTTTTGATTGTGTTGTGTTCTGACAAATACAGCTGATCAGAGTGTAGAACTAGCCACTAGTTGACCATAGAGATATGGAAGACTATAGAAAGGGGAACAGGACGTGGAAAGGAGGGGCTGAGACGGGGGCTCTGCGTTTTGGATGGTGGGATGGTACTTCTCTGATCATTCATTTCCTTAGCCGGTATCTCACTCCTGATGTTTTATTGATAAAGATTAATTAAACAAATCAATCTCATACAGACATACATCCAGAGAAAAAAACAATGCATATGAAAAATTAAAATAAATAATGAAAACAGGAAGATTGCTTACACTGTTTGCGTCTTTCTGTGTTTAACCTTTCCGTGATGGGTGTGTCTTTCCCTGACTCTAGTGGGACTTTTAGAAATTCAGTGGTGTGAGAGGTGGAGCTCACTTTTTATGTGAACTGTGTTACAATTCTAAGTTACTGTTTTTTTCCCTGAAACGAAACTCAGACCCTGGGTGCTATTGGCTCCTTCATGTGTTGCAGTGATCCTGTCTGAAAACACTTAAGGAACTGATTGTCTGCGATCATTTGTCACCTCATCTCTGTCCTTACAAGTCATGTACAGACAGGGACATGTCAATTCTGAGTAAAAGAACACATAAACAACTTCTCTTTTTTTTTTTTATTTATTTATTTATTTATTTATTTATTTATTTATTTTTTTAATTTATTAAAGATTTCTGTCTCTTCCCCACCCCCGCCCCCCCCTCCCC